GTAACCCCCAAGGGGTCACGTGATCCCATGTACCCACGTGACCCACAAGGTCACGTGACCTTGGGGTCACGTGACCTTCAGGGGGCCACGTGGGGTCACGTGACCTTGGGATGACCTTGGTTACGCCGACGCCGACGCCGCTCAAGCCGGGAACGGGCCCCTAAGAGCTGCGCTCTAAAAAACGAGTCTGGTAATACGCTGCGAACGATCACTAGTAGACAGCAACCATACATACATCGCAGACAACACGAGTACCACGTATCAGACATCACCGACATACACACAAACACAACAACGACACAGCACCCCACACTTCCTCGTCAGCGCGCTTTTCTCCCCGCGGCATATATGAGCTTGAGATGTGCGGGTGAGCTCTTTGGTCGCTGACCGTTACAGATTTGAAGAAGAAGAGACAAAACACGGCACAATGGACAGCCGTGTGTAAAAACTGTTTGCATTTATGAAGTATGGGGGCGAAATCTATATTGTTAGTCTGTTGCGAAAAATAACAATCTAATTAAAATAAATCTTAGACCGTTCATGAAAAAGGTCACATTTTTGTTATTTTCATGCTCGACCAGTCTTATGAGCAGTCCGACAATCTTGACTCAGATAGAAAAACAAATTATTGTGATTTTATCAATATGTATTTAATAATAATTGGAAATGATCCTCGCACAAAGCATTTTTTTATATATTCTTGTGAAAGACATCCGCCCAACACTTCACTTCCGCTAATTGCAGTACGGGAGCAGACGCCTTCACTTTTGGGGCGTTTTGATGCAGTCTGTTGTCGTATGTCGTGTCGGTGTCGAGTGGAGCGGCGGGGCTTGGGAGTTTGTGACCGGTGTTGTTCGTGATCACTGGTGTGGCGCTGATGCATCTTTTTTTTATACCGCCACGACCCGCACTTCGAAGATTCGCAGGCCCATAGCACTTCATTATGCTGAATAGCGAGCTCCTTCCCTGTTGACGTCATTTTCCTGGTACCAGTCGTGGATACTGCAAGCGTTCAAACAGTGTGCACCGTCTCGCCTACATCCCCGGTGACGGACTCGACCTGTTGAAACTTATTGCTTCCGTCATTTTGAAGTACGCAAGGCAGTCATCTTGTTACTCTAGTTTCGGTTATAAAAGCAAGGCAAAACGCTCGTAGTTCCCGCCCTCAGTACACGTTGGATATCTTCCACACTTTGACACCGGATAACTGGACGAACGAGAATTTACATTTACTTCAGTGGTCACTCCCGCTGCTTCCTCACCGCTTAGCAGCAGGGTCAGCTGGCGATAAGCCGCGGATGAAAGGCTTGAGCATCAACAGCCCAAGTGCACTCGGTTCCGATGCGGGCGATGCGGGTTTCTGTAAACCGGTAGGCCAGCACAAACCGTGACCGTTCCAGCTCTTCGTCATGACACGGGGTTGCAGAGAGCAGGGTAACTGCACGGACCACCGAAGCAAATGCACTGTTATCGTAAATCTTGGCTTGTGATTGCGCCTTTGTAGATAATCTTATTCGTTTTGCTAGAGACGCAAACGACGGGCATAACAAAATCGGTTGCATATTCCGCATACCCCGCAAAAGCATTTATTCAGTCACCTTGAGAAAAACGCGAAACACGGGAGTCCTCACCGTCCTGACTTCCGCTGTCTTTTACCTGCCTTAGAGCAGTTTGCACCTGCTGGTAGGTATGCCTACTGAAACTGAAATTTGAGAAACTAGGGGCAGTGCCAGAGAGAAAAGAAACAAAGTGTGCAATGCGTGCTCGGTTTCTCCAATTTCACAACTCTCAAGTGATTGTACCATAATAAATGCACCAACGCCTCTTCCCAAAATAAAGAAAAAGCGCTATGTTCACTACGTATAAAATCGTCTCAGTTCATGCATCTGTGGGCAGGTAGAAAATCCTGCCCTAATTTATTCACACCGCATGATGAGCGCAAGAAACTCACACGAGATTTACAGGAAAATATCGGTGGTGACTTAAAGGGCAACTCCGCTTCATTTTTGATATTTAGAAAACTATGTAGCCCTCTTCAGTATCATATAGGAAGACCCCATGTCAAATATTACAATCTAATTCCGTCTATATATTTAATAAACTGGCCAGCGAACCTTCAAGCGAGCCAAGTCGCCGAAATCTGCCAACTCTAGCGTGCGGCGCGAGGCGCAATCATCAGCGCAGTCAATGCCACGGAGTTGGAGCGGCCAACGTTGAACCACTACGTCAGAGGCATGCATACTTCATTCTCACGTTTTGCTTGTTTTTACTTTTCAGAGCGAAATTTAACGATGACGTCATGAGTTTCTCCTCCCGGTGTTGGCTGACCGGGCGTTCACGTGATCACCGCTGCCCTGCGCGCTTATCGGTCTGTTTCTCCGCTCCCCTTCTCCTCTTTCGTCTTCTCCCCTTCCCCCTCTCCCCCGGGCCATCACCGTCCACGCCATGCGAAGCACCCTGCCCGCGTCAAAAAAAAAAAAAAAAAAAAAGGACCTGCCCGCGTCGCGTGTCCTGTTTCTCGCTCCCTCCCGAACGTCACAAGACCACGTGGTTCGACGTGAGGTGCTCATGACTGTGACGAACCGAGACCAATGTTGCCTGACGCAACCGAAGTTTCGGTTTCGGTATCTGCTGATGTTTAAATTAGGATTACACAAATATTATTCCACATTTCGCGAATCCGAAGACGTAGAGTTGTTGAGTATTACTTTGTGAATGTGAATCACATGGAAGCCTAAATATTTCGGAATTGAGCGGAGTTGCCCTTTAAGTTTCCCTGAAATTCTGTATAACCGGGCGTTTGCAGGACCGAATAATCTACTCAAGCGGTGTGCGTCGCTGTTCAAAGTTCAAACACGTCGCTGTGCAGCCGCAGTCCAACACGAAGCATAAAACGGGTGATTTAGGACAACAATCCGGAGTCCATTGTTCAATTAAAAGGACGTAATTTTGTTGAAAACGCCCGCAGCTTTTTATTTACGGTATGCGTCGGGATACTTTCATATTTTGAAACTGAAGGAAGGAAGATTTACTTTTAGAAACGCTCGCCGCGTCCTCCCGGATCAGCTGGGCCGGATCAGATGACGACGACGGGGCTGAGCCCGTTAAACCTCAACCCAACAACAACCAATTTGCGCTCCGTGTTAGTGCGAGTTTCTTCCTCCAAGCGCCGCACCACAAACTTTTCATCTCTTTGTCGCATCGCCGTGTTGCACCATACAGAACGAGATCGCCGAAGTCAACGCAGCGTTGTCGTGAGCCTTGACTTGTGGTTGCGCACTCGTGGACCCTGTGACTCCCTTCGCTTTCAAAGCACACACGACGATTACGAATGATACTTTCCGTCTTCCGGCAACATCCCAGGGGCACTTCTTCGGTCACGTCTTCGGTACATGTGAACGCAAACCACGGAGGTTAATTCTCTTGTCCACTCAACCAAAGCAATACCAGCGCCATGTTAAACGTGCGTTGTTGCCAGATTTTCTTCGACCAAACAAAAACAACGGAAGCAAAACCGGCTCTAGCTTTCAGCGTACTTCCGCGGTGCGCCGTGGCCAGATTTTTTTCTGTCAGCTCTAATTTAAGGATGGCCTACAGATTCAGCAACACTGGTATAAAGTTTTAATATGGCGGCCACCACCGCGCGCCGTAAAATCTGAGGAGGGTGCATGGGAAGCTGCGGCGCCTTCGCTTGCACTTGAAGGGTTGAAGCCAAAAGGAAACCAACTGCAGTATCACGTGTTTGGATCGAGGGCACGCTTTTTATACCCATTTTAACTGTTTAGAACGAGTAATTAGACCTGTAACTTTATTTTTGGTGTGTAAGAAACTAATATCAAGACCCCTATAATAATTACAAACATGCGCGACAAGAGGGAAGCCGCATTGCCTTCGACCCGAATCAATGGCAGCGAGGACGGTAAGCGCGGGGTTCGCCATGCCCCGCGACATGGCGTAATTACTTTTGGTGCATATCTGTCTCCGAGACATGTTTCTTTCCGCGGCATTTGTCTCGACAATCCTTTCTAGGTGTGCCCTCAAGCATTCCGGTGCTTCGATAGCCGGCAATGCTGCGATCGTCGCAGGGGGTGATACGTGTTTTCGAGGTCTGCTACAAAGTTATGCTTGTATGACCGAACCAAAACAGGTATTTTACAACCTCGTATGATTTTTGAACGAATTATTCATTAGTCAACGTGCACGTTTATGGTGATTTGTGTAAATAGCGTGTTTTTCACCCCAAATATTCACCAAATACGCGGGACTTGCTAACAGTGTACGCCACCGCTTCCGCAATCCATCACAAACATTTCACTGCTTCTCAACGGTGCATAAACCTTGCTGTGGCTCTGCGGCTCCCCGACCTATGCCTCTTGCCTCCTGTGAACTAAGGTTATGGTAGTGCCACGCATGCTTCCAACGCTCTTGAGAAAATCGGTCTACTAAATAGCTGCCATCATAAGTGCTAATGTGTCAAAGAGTGCTTTTTCAGGGCTCCAGACTAAACGGTGCAAGTTTTTGATCAGAAATGTATTGCTTCAGTAAAATTTGAAAAATCGCCGAAGTCGTGTTCGTGTTCACCCTGTCGCGTGGTGTACAGCTAGCGAATATTTGGTTGAAGACTTACTTTATTTTTCTCGTTAGCAAATCATAGTTCCCTTAACTTGGATCGATGTTCACACAAAATCAAGGAGCCACATAAACACGAATATGGAATCCTAGAGTGCGTCCTTGGCGCATTCAAAGCGGTTGGTTGTATTAGCTAGAAATGACATGCACGCAAAAAAGCAACATTTGTTTTGAGGTTGCGTGGTTCCAGCTGTTTCACAGAAGCATCAGCTCTTACAATTTGCTGAAGTTGGGAAAATGGTTAAACAATGTGCACTTTCTGTCACGCAAATAGACTTAACTGCATTTTTTTACAATAACTGTACATCCCCGGTTGCTACATTTAAATTAAATTTAAAAGAAATATTTAAAATTTTACATTTTATTTCTAGATGGCGCCATGACGTGACCGAAGTTGTTGCCGTTTATGGTCCTCTGGAAAATTCAGTTGGTAAAGTTTTTTTGTGTGTTTTAATGGTCGTAACAACATTGTTAATTTATTTTACACTTTCCTTCATCAGGTTTGACGGCGGTGACATTGCAACCACCGTTCTACTCGTCTGGACTGCCATCGTGAGTTTCAATGAAGATACTTTCAACAATCGAGCCTGGCTTTGCTACTAAATTAACTAAATTAACTAAAGTGCACGAGATTAATATTTATTTACCTTCAACGGCTACAGCTCTGTCAAAATGGGATCCCTGGGATGGATTTTAGGACACGAGCTCAATCACGGCTTTTTTTACCCAGGTTTGTACATTATTAATGCATATTTGATGAATCTATTTGAAACTATAATACTTTCCAGGAAATTACCACAACGGTTATGGAAACAAACGCCTATGGTGGAACGAAAAAACGACGCAGAATTTCAATCCCCTCGAAAGTTGTGTCGTGAAACTGTATGATGGTCAGACGGAAGAAGAAACTGGCTTGAATGTAATATATTTTGCTTAGTTTGTTTGCAAACTTGTGCAATACCTAATGCATCATGCATTTTTAACAGATTAGTGGATATCGAACATTTGTCGAAAATATTGCCAATATGCAGGCCTTACAAACTGCATTCGAGGTGAGTATCATAGTTAATTAAGTACGACAATCAAAGCAGCTGTACGGGAGAGTTAATTTATGTTTTAGAATCTACAGAGCGCGCAAATTAATACAAAATCAGCGAAAAGAAGTACGGTGGGGGACCCAAAAATAACTTAATGAATTTCCGGAGGGCGGGACGTTTGTAGTAGCAGCTTCCGCCGCCTGCAGCGCTTAATGACACCCTTTTAGAGTCAATTCTCCGATCAGCCTTTTTTGATAGAGTCCTACGGCATGTTGTGAATTTTTTCCCCAAGCAATTCAAAATCACATCTCGGTTTTTGGCGATGTCTGTTTTGAAGGAACTTCGACAGTCACAAAATTTTTACTTTCAGGACTATTTCTAAGGACGCACAGAAAAAAGTCAGACGGGCAAGGTCCGGTTAAATAAAAGGGGGGGGGGGGAGGGAAGAGGTGTTATCTTATTTTTGATCAAAAATTATTGCACTGACAGGACAGTGTGTAACGGCGCATCGTCGTGATGTAACCATCACTTGCCGATTCCCTACAAATCGGGGCGCCTCCCCTCACTGAGGTGCTCAGATGTCACAAAGTTCTCAGGTCAAACACCTAAAAAATAGTTTCAACAGAAAGAATAAGCTCGAAGTGAACCATGCACGAATTTTGTAGGTGTTTTTATAAGTTGAGAAGGTTGAGGGTCGCCCTGAACGAGGTTGGTCGTCGATCAACAATCTATCAGACTTGAAGCGAGAAAACCACTCGTGTACCTGCGATTTCTACAAAGCATCTTTGTCGTAAGCTTGCTGAAGCATTACATAAGTTTCCGCCGCCGTTCTCGCTAAAAGAAAATAAAGATTTTCACAACTCCACACTGTTCCTTCAAATCGGATATTGCAAAAAAAAGCAAACAAAAAAACGAGGAAATATTTTTAAAATCTTGGGGGAAAACATTCGGAGCATGCCCCTAGAAATTTAGCAGACGGCGCCGTCCGGCAAAATGACCCGGAAACGCAGAGCCAGCGCCGCATATTCCCCCCGTGATAAAGCTGGGATGACCTTAAAAAATTCGCGTAGCGCAGCGCAGGATTTTTTTTATTCTTTCGGTATGACGCTGGAAATACATGAATATATGATTTTAATAGATGGGGGAAAATAAGAGTTTAAAGGTGCTGAGTGAGTTTACTGAGCCAGGAAAGGTGACGTGGACGAGAAAACATTTCTGAAAGATAAGGAGCAACTGCGTATGTGGGGTTCGCGTTTGGGGTTTCGGTCAAAACTTCCACGGAGCGGAATTCGATTTTTTTATTGTCCACTTCTCCACACGATTACTGTTTTATATCAGTACCCACATGTCGATTCCGCCACACCCGCCTTCCATGTGAACCGAATCTTGTCAAGCGCACCCCACATGTAGTACCATGCTGTACCTTTGAATTTCAAATAAATATATCTGAAAGCGGAGCGGTAGTTTTCGCCGCAGCGAGTGTAGTCAAAGGGAAGCTTGAATGCGATCTGAATGTCGCCATGACGACAGCGTTACTTGCGTTGCCCTTTCAGTTACGTAGAGTCACACATTTTAACTCTAGCCTGCTGAAATTAAATACTTGAGTACATCCTTACCTAGAAATTGTAATTGGGGGTATTTTTTAAGCACATTGCCTCCGCTAGGAGAATATTTGTGACTGATGGTTAGTCTGAAGAGCTGGCAATCATCGCGCCTAAGGTGATTGAAAGATATTCAACCAGTGAAGTACCCTTATTTTCGCCCTATCCTTAACACTTAATGACAAATATTTCTTCATGAATTGCTCTTGGAAGGGGTAGAGTTCCTGTGTAGGCTTCCGTAGGAAGCCAGAGTTGCGTGTTCATCTTCGTATGGGTGTCTTTCCTGCGCGGCATGTTGATCCCGCTCTTCACGTGACTGAATTCGAGGAATAGCGGCGCCGGGCTCAAAAGCAGGGTGGCGTACGCCGGGGCGCATCGAACGTATATTTTCTTGCACGGCTTTTGATCCTGCTCCTCTTGTGTTCAGATCTCGGTGAATGGCGGCGCGGCGGCACGTGGAAAACAGACGCGCACCTCTGACTCCCGTAAGGAGCCTAAACAGGAGCTTAAGGAAGGGGTGCCGCTGCTGCTAGGGGTGGAAGCTGGTACTACAAACTGCCCGCCATCCCGAAATTCGTTCAGGTTACTTTAGGGCCCCCCCTCGCAGAGTACGATAATATTACTTCTGAAGAAATTATTTATATAGATCAAAATAGATAATTAAACACCCATGTGCCGAAATCAACCCGCTTTATCAATATAATAGGGTTATCTGCCATAGCAGTGTGCTGTTTGAAAATGACATTGTAATGTTAAAGACATAATTATTATTGTGGTGGAAGAATACAACCAAAATAATCCGACAATTGTTGGGTAAGCAGGCTCTTCAAGAGAAAAGCAGAGAGGGTAAGAAAACTGAATCAACTAGACATCTGACGAAAATAATCCCTAAAAAAAGGGAACAAGTGGGACAAAGGACGAGCACAAGTTTCCAAAGAGAACTAGGTGACTGGTGCGCGACCGAAAAAATCCCCCTGCTTATTTATAAAGAAGAGGTACACTGCGTTTTTGGGGACGTGCTCGTTGATTCCGTCATGGGTGCTCACATAGTTTGTGTTTCATCAATGAATATTAAACTGTGAGTTGAGCGCTTATCTTGCCTATTGCTCCTCGCTTTTTAGAGAGTTGTGTACATTTATCTTAAGAAATGCGATAGTAAAATAAATGTGACATCTTTTTTGTGTACTCTAGACGAAACAGTTATTTGATTCCGCAGGGTCATCAGGAACTGTTGAGGCAGCAATTTAACACACCGCAGCGTTTGCCGTGCGTGACTGAGTTTAATGCTGACCAGTTGTTTTTTATATCACTGGCATATGTGAGTATTTTCTTCATTATTATGTAATTAAGAACGAAAGCTTTCTTTTCATCACGGGTGCAAGGGAGCGCATGTATTTTCCATGAAAGGGATATATCATGTTAAAAAACCACGAAGGTCAACCTCTGTAAAAGAAGTTGCGGGTTGAAAGTATTGGAAGAATCACCGATCCTCTAGTTAACTGAAAGGAGATTGCCGTTTGCTGGTATTGTCGCCCATGACGAAGGTAACAACAGGTGCCTTAATATAAACACGAAAGAAACACAAACGAAACTCTCGTGTGCATTCGGTTGTGCTTTATGAAAAACAATGCGTTGTACATTGTGAAAACTAAGTTGATATCGAGGCATGTCTTTTATGATTATCAAAGTGTGGGTGAACTGATTGGCGCACACTATTTTGTGTATTACACGGATGATGCGTGATTTTAGGTTTTTGCACGAAGTTAATAATGGTGTTGTTCATTGCACAGCGACACTGCTGAACTTTGAATATTAACCTGTTGCTCAAAGGTCTAGTCTGGCACGCTCATTATTTTATTCATCCGGTTTACATAGCAGTGGTCTCACCACCCTACCTGCAACTGTTAATTTTTTTAAACAACTCAGAATCCTACTCATATACGTTTTATATGGATATTTTAGGTTGCAAGCAAACAATTATGAAGTAAATTGGTGTCTTCCTTTCATTCTGACTTGTAAGCCTATATTTTTGAGACGGGAATTCTTTTTATTACGACCTAAAGTGCATCACTAAAAGGGCGCATTGCTGTTTGTGCTGTATTTAATATAGCACGAATGAAAATAACGCAAATTATAATAAATAGAATGAGATGTCACCGCCGCACTCCGTAGGGATATCACTGACCTTCTATTGTCGCCGACCGATTAAGAAATTCATATATTGTGTTTTTTAAGCTGTGCGTGATTATAACCAGAAAGTATTTTTTTTTAGGAAGGTATTGGCCCTTCTCAGAGCTTCTAAATGTTTTCCTGTTTATTTCCTCTTAAAGAATACGCTTTACTTGATATCAAAAAGGAGGCTAAGGACTTCTACGAGGGAGTTTTCACTCGTGGCGGTCAAATCGGTTTACGCATGCGTTTTTGCTTTTATAACCACGCATTAAAATTAAGATTACAAGATTACTACTCAAGTTGTATTCGTTCAGGGCGCGGACGCCTTTCATTCTGATCGTTATTATACCTACCATAAAATCCACCTTTATGTGACTTGACTATTGGACCTTTAAATGTTAGTTGATGGTAGCGAAATCCGAAACAAAGAGTTACAGAAGATTAACAAAATCTGCGTGTATTCATTGCTTGTGTCCGAAGACAACTCCCTCTACTGTAAATTCATTACACGAGTAGAGAAAACCGAACATTGCTTCGCATGTGGGCGTTGCAATAGCCAAATGTTACGTCTCGATGTGATAGGAGAGTGAAAAAGGAATTCCCACCTCTTCCGTCGATAAGGTATCTTTCCAGTTTAATAAATACAAGGTTCATTTTCAGCCATTGGCAAATATGCCTTCTACGGCAGGACCTCCAGCGCGGCGGTGGGAGACCATGTGAATCGCCAAGCTGTTTAAATATCAACAAAACCTTTTTTTTTACAAATAATTGAAAAACGTGTTTTATTGTTGAGGAATTCTTTATACTTGCTGAACGTTCATGATAAATCTCTACCTGTTCAAGCTAGACGCGCAAGGGGTTGAACACCAAATTTTTTTACATATTCTTGGTGTTAGAATGTATCAACCTTCAAATTCTGGAATATTCCGCACTTCTTTTTTCAGCTCTAAAGGGTTGCTGTTCGGACGTTAAAACATCCGTCCCGCTCGTAAAAACATATCTGAATATAGCATTTCGAAGTGTCGGGAGTGTTCTTTGGCTTATTAATTGTGAATTTGAGTTATTACAGGTTTTCCTAAGTGTACTCATGTTTTGTTCTACAGAGCTTTTGTAAAAACGATAGGGAAGCAGAAATGAGGGATATTGTCGAGCGGGACAGTCACGCCCCTTCTAAAATAAGGTACATTCCTATCATCATAGCTTTCACAACATTTCTCGAGCTGAACTCAAGAAAATTTCCTTCAGTTAAAAGTTTTAAATTTCCTTAAGTATACATGTAAATCTTATAAGTCTTAAATATTTGCTACCCCTTTCAGGGTCAACCGGCAACTTGGCAATTCTCCCCTTTTTTTGAAGACATTCAGCTGCAATGCTACCAGTCGAATGAATATAACAAACAAATGCTACGTGTAATATGCACAAGTAATATTTGCATTTACTAGTAAAATAATTACACAATAAACATGTTCAAAATATGTGAGCGCTGATGATTCATACTTTAAAAATTGCGTGAGTTGCAAGTGACATGTTTAATCTACGTCGAAATGTAACATCTAAATATTTTCTTGAGAAATGAAGACCAAAGGTACGATAATCAACATATAAAAAATGATCATGCAAAAGCAATAATGAAACTAAAAAGAGCAGGTCAGTAACCCACACCTTTTTTAATGTTTTGCAAAACAAAGTCAAATATAATTCAGGAAATAGAGAGTAGGAAGGCAGGATGTGGACATTTATCCCGTTGAGCCATGCCGCGTTAGACCTTAGTGGGCAAGCTCGGCCTTTTTTTTAATTTAATGAAATTGTGTTTTGTTAATCTCCAAATCCGAAAGTAAATTAAAACAAAAATCGGTGGCCGAGTGGGCCAGCGCACACCAGCACCTAGCACTTGAAGCGAAAGCTCGCGTGCAGAACTTTGGGATTCTGGGCTCCATCTCCATCTCTGCCCGTTTCGGTCTGGATGGGGATCGTACAGGCGTGTGGTCGTACATTACTACCAAAGTTCTAAAAGTTACTTCAAAAATGTACCCAAGATACAGGAACTCATACGAACAGGTATCTAGGTACGTACCTAGGTACTGGCTTAAAAATGTACCTAGGTAACAGGTCAAGTTACTTCAAAGATACTTTTTTTATTTATTTTTCCCGAATTTGTCAGAATATATTGGAAAGATCCTTTTATACTAAGAATACACACAACAAATAGTTCAATAAATGTGCTTTATTGTCGTCAAAGCGAGAAATAAGAGAAACCGCATTCACATCAGCATTCCAGGACATGTTATCTTTCTCACATAAGTGCTCTATTTGACTTGAGAATCCGAACCCCCTGAAAGTGTTTCTTACGTCTTCGATCGCAGTTTAGTAGCGATTGTTTCTCCTACGCTAAAAACACGCTCCACCGCCGCACTGCTGGGAAGCCGAGTGTTGAATTTTAATAACACACTTTTCAGCAGCCGCATGTGCTTTCTTATGCAGCAGATAAGGACGATGTTTCGAAGTTAAAGAAGTGCCTGCAGTCTTCGCCGTCCCCTCTTTGTTCGCCTGACGACGATTTTGTCATAGTTAATGCTTGCATAATTTTGTTCTTTAGATAATCCCAGGCCGGCTCCCGTTACGCTTCGTTGTTTATCCACGCTACCCTACATCTTTAATGGCACAAGGCAGATATTACCGAATGTTTTTGTTCTGTAGAATATAATTGGGATTTGGCGGTTTGATAGGTTTGATAAAAAAAAACGCGTTTTTCGTGTAGCGCTCGTCAAATTATGAGGCGCTAAAGAAATGCAGCATTCTGCGTTAAGTCCTTATTTCGAACTCTTTTTGTTCGCCTTCCGCCCGATATAAAAGCATGCGGGAGGTGCCTTAGAACGCACCTGGTATCGCTGCGCCGCAGCGTTCTTCCGCAACATAAAGTTCGTCTGCTTTCCTTGCCGTCAGCATGGCAGCGAACGCCGAATGAATGGAAGCACGCCTGGTACAGCCGCGTGAAGCCACCAAGAGCTGACGCCATTTTAGGAATGCCGTCTGCTAGCCAAAGCCGAACGCGGTGTGTCAGACCAACCGCCTCCGCCAATGCGTCGCTGTCAAAGACGACGAAGCTGAGACATTCCGACGGCGATTGAGCAAGCAACAGCAACGCGGGACGACTGCAACAGCGGCATTTATGGGGATCAAAGGCGCGAAATAAGCAAGAACAATTTCTATTTGAATCATAACACTCGATATCCAAGTTGGGGACCACATACCTTTGCCTGGCCTTTCCTGTGAACTTTGTACAGAGACGCGGGGTGCCGCATTCAAAACACAGCTCCGTTTGCGAAATATCGGGGCCCTGAAAAGAGCCGTTTAAACCGCTACCAGAACCAATAACTGACGTAACGAGCACTTGACAAGCGGTTGGCGCATAAGTCGTCTTTATGCATGCAGGCGGGCGACGGGCTCAGCGCAGTGGCTCACTCGAAGTAACCGAGGCCGTCAGAAACCTCGCCCTGTCTGCGTCGGGGCTCTAGATTTTGGTGGCCGCGGCGACGAACGATTGGAATCTATCAGTGTTTCCGTGCGCCTTCTCTCTTATCCAAAACATGAACTTTGCAAGGTGACAAGTGAAATGGTGGCTCTCACGCCGTCCAGATGAAAGAGAGTTTTTGACGTGGGCCCAGGTGCCCTCCACCGTATTGATGTGCGCACCAGTGTTCGCGCCGACAAAGTGCAGCTTGTGGTTGACGGTGAGGTGCGTGAAGCGAGCGTCATCTGCAAGCTTGCGATAGCCAGCCCAACAGTCAGTGATTATTCTTGCTCCAGGGCGGACCCACTCGGCTATTAGACCTTGCAGAGTTTCAGCGTCACGGGTATCCACGGGAACAAGAAAGCAGCACCCACTGCCACGCTTTACACTGCCGAAAAGCCACTGGCCAGGCCTCAAATACCCCCGATGGTACTTTCTCCGACCGAACATATTTTCTTCTAGGTCTAGAGTCACGCCTTCGCCACCAATCATGTCTGAATGCTTAAAGACGGCATTTACCACAACCTTCCGACAGAGGCTTTTCCAATCAGTTATTGTCTTACTGCAACATCAGTCTTCCGCTGAATGACGGCGCACGGTAGGTTCTGGCACCAGAGGATAATTTTCATGAGTTGGAAAATCGTCAGGTGCAATCCTTCGAAAAGGAACCGCTCCGTACCGAGACCTCGCCCCGGCACTGAACTTTGACCGGCTTCCTCTTGGACACCGCACGAGTCATCTACACACAGCATCTCCACGAGTGGCCATCCGCAGACCTAGAGCGGACTTGCAGCTTGTCATCGCAGTTTCGCACTCTGGACACGCACAAAAACCCAGGTGCCAGGAGCAGCCGCATGTGCTGAAGCAAATTAATTGCTTCAAGAAGGTCTTTCATGGCGTCATGAAGACGGCACAGGTTAAACGTCATGGCACTGTGATGCTCGCCTCTGGAAGAATAGAGCGCCAATGGGAAACTGCGCGCTTCTTTGCATTTATCATTTTAGAGCGCAGCTCTTAGGGGCCCGTTTCCAACCTGAGCGGCGTCGGCGTCGCCGTCGGTGTCGGCGTAACCGGGGGGGGGGGGGGGGGTCACGTGACCCCCCTCCCCCGAGATCACGTGACCCCCCTCCCCCGAGATCACGTGACCCCCCGGGGTCACGTGACTACCCGCAGGTGACGTGACCCCCCTCAGTACCCTTCCCTACTCCTCCTCAAGAGCTGCGCTCCAATTCGGCGTTACAGGGATTTGTAAACGGCTTTCATTTTTTCAAAGCAGGCTCCTATGGCAGTTTCCCAACTGACGTTCTAGTAACCCTGCCTCCTGTGGACTACAGCTTGGCGGCGTCGCGCATGCGCGAAACGCTTCGTGAGATCGGTCTATTGGCGGAATATTTACGGACACGTTTATGTATCGCGTGATAATGTATTCAATATTATGTTTAATCGAATATATCCCTCTTCTAAGCAGTGGCGATTGGAGAATGCGTGAAGCTGACAACTGAACAGAATTGGCGCTGATCGCAAACAAAGAAATTCCGCCACTCCAGTCTTTCCTCTTGGTCTTCAGCCTTTATCTAAAGAAAATATCTGTTTGCTTTTTATTTCGTCGTTATGTTACGAGGATATGTTAAACCCGTGACTGATAGGAAGGGGCACTTCTACACACGATACATTTTTATTCCATGGAAGGATGATTGCTCTTATTCGCAGACGTTCGCTCAAGAGCTCCTTTGGAGCGATGCCAGTTAAAAGCACTGAAAACTCGACGGCGGTTCGCCTGCATGTAGGGACTCAAACCGTAACCCTAACCGAAACAAAGAATCGCTTAGGAACGAATTTTTTTCAGTACCGTAAACGAAACGACACCTTTATTTGAAATTTATGAAAACCGAAACCGTAACCTAACCGTAAATTATTTACAGGTAACCGATATTTACCAAAACAGAAACAAATTTGATATTTGCAATTCTCTCTAATGCCGAATTAGAGCGCAGCTCTTGAGGAGGAGGAGGGGAGGGGGAAATTTCCCCCTCCCCTCCGTATCCTCTCCTCGTCCTCGCCTGCTGCCCTCCCATTGAGGGGGAAATTTTTTATTTGATCCGCCATTTTATACCTCGTGACACAATTCAAACGAACTCATTAGTTGATCGGTCGGACCACACCATTGCGTGACATAGCAAACGCCAAGCGTATGTCCACAGACGGCATCGTCACAGAGAGGGAAGCAGTCCAACCCAACTTCAAAATGAAGTAACAAAGTGAATAGAAAGAAAAAAAAATAAGAATGGAGCCGTTGGATTTTCGGACGGTGTCTTCTTTGATGAGAGGAGGAGAAGCCGTGCCGCTCTGGCTGCTCAGAATGTTTTTGTTTTTTTCTTTATTACCCTAGAGGGTGCCACGACCCTTTTTTTGAAGCTGATCTGTTAATTCAATAACAAACAACGCGTTGGAACGGAGTAGGTAGAGAGTCTTGGCGTCAGAATTCGACGTGGTAGAAAAGCAAAGGAAAAAATAACGAATGCACAATACATACCGTATTGCAATACCGTTATACTCCGCACTCGGGCAGGCCTCATGATGCCGCCGACGACCGTTAGGCTATTTATTTTGTTTCTCTAGATTTTTTTATCGTGACGACTACTCTACCTCGCCTCGGAGTCGCCAGCGGAGATCCGGCAGTTTTTAAAAATTATTATTTTCGTTTGAAGGGCACCCTTACCATGCTGCTTGGTTCCTGACGTTCAAAGTACACACATGCAGTAGAATCTAAGCTGATACCGGGGCGTCCGAAACGACGATGTACGATGATCTACACGCACAACACCTATGCAGTTCGCTTGGTGACATCGGTCTATTAAAAGAATGATATATCTCAAAAATGAAGAAATCCTATGATTTATTT